GTGTGGGTGGCCGCAAGCTGGTGCGGGCGGTGTGGGTGGCCGCAAGCTGGTGGGGGCGGTGAGGGTGGTGGGGGTGGTGAGGGCGGTGTGGGCGGTGAGGGCGCGGGAAGGTCCGGGCACGCATTGCCAGCCTTTAAAAACTTTCTAAGCACCTAAGGAAGTGGAGGAATGCTAGGAACGGTGTGAGTGGGGAGGGCAGCAGAGTGGTGGGGACGGTGAGGGTGGTGGGGGCGGTCAAGGCGGTGGGAGCACCGGGCAGATAATCTTTGATCGTTCTTGCACTGCATTCTCTCACGAAACTGCACCAGGTGCTTTTCTGCAGGTATTCTTCTCAACCCGAAGCCACCAACACCCCTGGTCCAACAGCTGGGATCCACTACATATCTACATGGCAGCTCCTCGCCCATCTTCCATGTGCTGATCTTGGTTTCAGCGACATCGCCAGAGTCGTAAGCCCAACTAGCGCCACCGCACATAAGATGCTGGAGGATGCATGCCCCGGCCTGCCCACGCACTTGGCCGCGCAGTTTCCCAACTGACCTCGCTGACAGTACAGGTCGGCATGCTCTGAAAATCCTGCGACTCTCGCATTGCAGCTCAGAGCAATCAATCTCACACACAGTCTCAAACCCTGCAGATGTTCGAGTCCAGGATGCTTCTTGAGTCATACAGCGGTCCCTTTCGGTGTATTCCTTATAGCCAGAACCCATTTGTTATGTTCCTCATACTTGGGGGTCTATAATTCTCTTCGCGAACCGTTTCAGCCAGCGTGCCATACTCGCCGCTGCAGTACGCACCACAACGATCGCCTGGCAACGGGCTGCCAGTCCGAACGCACGCAGCATCACGCAGCAACACAGACATGCAAAGGATCCCTGCCGCACCCAAACTTAACATGTCTGCAGCAGGGTACCAGAGCAGCTGCGTGCGCACTCTGCGCCCTGGCAATAGTAGCCGCACTCGAAACCTGCCAGGCGCAGTCCTACAGGTGCCTCGGCTTCTTTTGGGCTCGCCACGAGAATCGCAGGCCTTTGCATTCCTTGCCGCACTGCTGAACATCAGAGGCAGTGCTTTGGCACTCGTAGGCGCATTGGTTGCCTGACACCAGGTGGAATGGCGAATTATACCTGAATGCAGGAATCGGGGAGAGAAGAGAGAATGACATCAAGAGACGGACTTCGAAACAGACATGAGAGATAGCGGCAGAGGGGGATTACTGGCAAAACTGATCTACGAAAACGGACAAGGACAGAACAGAAGCTGAATAAACGACAGTTCAAGGCACGAGGACCGACAGACATAAACTAACAGAAGCGTGACGCACTGCATACTATACCGGACACCATCACCTGACATTCAAACTTAAGGCAACTGCCACGCAATCAGGGACAGAATGACCAAAAGAAATCTCCGTTGCGGTTCCTGCTCGGACTTCGACGGGGTCAACTCAAGTTGCCACTGACGCTAGGGACGTGTCGAGCGAGCACCCCAAAAACCAAACCACAAAACATCAGAACATGTCATCAGATAATGTCTTGAATGATGCGCCGGCCACCCCCAGCCTTGGCACGTGGAAGCGCAATTCCCACCTGGCAACAAGAGACTCGCGAGCCGTCACAGCCTCTTAGAGCTCCTCTCGGCTCGCTTCGGGTCCCCACCGCTGCACTGGAAGCCGCACTGCTCGCCCTGGCATTCCGCCGCGCACTCCTCCTGAGACGACACGGAATATGCGCCTGAGCAGGAAGCTGAGAGCCCATCTGACGCTTTCTCTCCTGACCGGCCAACGTCCCGGCACCTCAGCTATCACAAAGCTCACTCCACTCGCTTTGTAGTGAGACTCCAGGCGGCCGGCATTTGAAGCCGCACTTGTCGCCCTTGCAGGCCTTCGCGCAGGTTGGTCCTGCCATGCTGTCAAACAGCCTTCGCGTGAAATGACATGACCTCAGGGCTTACGGAAAGCTGCAATCGCAAGAATCTTCTCGAAGCTATTAGAACTCGACTTGCAGGCTTGCGCGTGTCGAGCCTCCACACTTCTGATCGCTGGCCATAACCTGGCGCTTCTGGCAATCATACTTGGCTCAACAGATGCTGCGCATGCCAGGCACTTTGCTGGAAGCCCGGGCCCGGGTTCCCAGGCCTTGCACTGAGGCTCGAAGATGGTGTAGCCATCCTCCACAGTGAAGCATGCTCAGAATCCGTGCAATGACTAGGACATTTTCGGCTTGGAAACACTCCGCAGAAGGCTATGCATTTAAGCAAGTAGACGGCGAAAAGCAATCTCAAGCAATATAAAGGAAAAGAAGCCTCGAGTAGCCTATGCCGAATGATATCTCTGCTGCTCAAGGGGCGTTGCAGCTGGAGCAATGGTTGTCCTGCGGATGAGCGCAAGCACATTAGGGCACGGCATTCGAATGCGCGAGCTCACTGCGCGGCTGCCCAGCACGATGCGACGGCTTCTCAAATTTTACTTCGGGGTCCTTGCAACGCGGGCCTGCTATTTGGCCTATACTGAGGTCGCTTCTTTTCTCAATCCCCTCCTGCTTTCGCTTCGGTTGGTCCACGCACGTCTTGCAGGAGGAACCAGTGCCCGCGTTACAGTCGAAAGCCTTGGCCATGCACGAGCAGCGGCAGCTTGTCATGTTGCTGTGCACCCTGCGCTGCCCTGCGCTCAACCTTAAACGACAAGATGCTGTACAGCTTCCAGAATAGAAGGGCTTGCCAACCTGCATCGGAGTAAAATCCATGAGCGCCGTCTGCTTCAGAGCCAGAGAGGCTTGTGCAAATCCAGACCACCGACTGCTTCCGTTCAACTGCACGACACCCTTACGCTCTAGAGAGCGTTCCGGTGTGACAGACTGTGGCGCTTAAGTACTTGCGTGCACTAAGCAAATCCGCAATATTGCGTGAAGTGCAGCCCTGACCTGTGCCGCGATGCTGCCCCAATAGCCTTGGCTTTTGGCTTTGGTGCGCTTGTTGGAGGCACAAGCCTGATGAGCATACTGTAAGCTGCAGAGCTTCACCATGACCGGTATGAAACAGCTTGCAGAATTGCAGAATGTCCCAAAACTGGGTGGCATGGCTGGATCTCTACACAGCTCCGGCTGACCACACCAGAGCGAATGAAACTGCCGGACCAAAGTGATTAAGTTGACACTGGTGCCACTTCAATGATTTGGGGTGCAGATCATAGATCATCCTTTCATGGGCCCAGTCGCCGTCATTGCAGGTGCAGCCCTTCACGACGCTATCGCCAGACGAGTGCGCCCTCGGAAGCCGGAGATGCAGCAGAACTGGCCGGTGATCGGCGCCATGAGCACATTCCGAGTTGGAACCAAATTCCAATCGTTTGCAAGCTCCAACTCGTAAGGCCGTAAGGACACCACGGGCAGGCAGCAGCTGCGCAGCTTCCCTTGAAGAAAGGCGACTGCCTAGGTCTGCTCACGTGGCTCCTGCGCCCTGAGACTTTAGTTTGTGAAAACTTAATTGTGTTGGCATGGTCGTATACTAGCGGCATAGCCTTTTGCAGGCACGAAAGTGTGCGAATCCGGAACGGTTTGCCACTACTTTGGCGGCCAATGCATCTTGCATTGCATTGCGTCGCAGGTATTGCGACGGCACTGCAAAAGCACAACTCTCACTCAGAAAGCTCCTTCTGCCATCTGCTGTGGACTGCCGAAGCGGTAGCCCAAGCAGGTAATCCATACAGAAAGGCCTGCAGCGGCCAAAGGACGGCGTGAGAAGTTGGTGAGAGAGAAAACGGAAAGCCCAGGCACCGAAACCCAGGACGAAGAGCAGCCCGGCCCTGTCTCCAGCACCTTGGGTCATTCAGGTCGTGCGACACGATGTCGGTATTCGAAGCCGTTCTGTGCACCGGCGCGGCCCGCCAATTTGGCAATTTGGAGTTTCGAGCCGGGCTTCCTTTGAAAGCTTCTGGCAGCATTGCCGTGGAGACCATGGCCAGCATGGCGCCACCTCGCAACCAGACGCTCACGGCAGAATCGCTGTATCTCTGGGGGTCTCTGAGAGTCTCAGTCTCGTGCCTGTCAGGCCCTCCATACAGGCCGTGACCTGTCAGGGCAAGGCTTGATGGAGCTTCTGTTTTTGTGCTCACGAGCTCCTGCATCTCTTGCTACGTGTGTCTTCAAGAGTCATGGTTAAGATGGGTGAGCCGACAAAGGGAGGAGGAGGAGTCACACGCCACATGTCGGCAAGCCCAACTTCCACCTGACATACGATAGCTTCCTTTCGTAGTGGCTCGTGCAAACCTCACAAAGAGGAGCAAGCCAACCGAAAGGGCTTTGCGAAACAGGAGCCAACCGATCGAAAGGGACAATCGAATTTAACCTAGAAAATCGAGACTGCTAGACTGCTAGACAAGGACTAGAGTGACTAGAGACGAGGAGCAAACCGCTCGAAACTCACGAGAACTTGAGAAACTGAAACAAACCACGTTCAGAGGTGAGGAGAGAAATTGAGAAATGGCAGCAAACCGAAAGAACGAACGGACACTGTAGAATGTGAGAGAGAGTCCAGGCGTACTGGAAGATTCGAGAAAGAGGAGCAAATATCTCGAAAGTACAGGAGCACACCGCTCGAAATGCAGGAGACAATAATGCGGGAAAACAGCTCCAAACTGAGGCGTAAGTGAAACAAAAGGAGCGAACCAGTCGAAGGCCACTCGAAGAAGGAGTCGGAAGGGGGTCGAAAGGCATCAAAGGCATATGGAGCCTTTCAGAAAGATCTGCAGGCGGCAGGGTGCAACCGTCGCAGCCCTCCTGACGGACATGAACATGAAAAAGGAAGCCACGAGAAGCGGACCAGAAAATTTTAGGAACAGAAGAACACACCCGAACAAGCACACCGTTCGAAAAAGACTAGGGAATTTGAGAAAGAATAGCAAACCGCTCGAAAGAAACT